ATGTAATATGAGACTTTTCCATCCCCCCCTTCGGCTATCAATTTTGTATGTGTGACGTCATAAGCCCCGACCAGGGTCTTTGCTTCCCAAGAGCAAAGAGCCTGGGAACGAGGTTGGAACAGCGACTCGGGGTCGGCTCAATTTCCATATCCAAACAAATGACGTCATTCATTACCAGTGACACTGACATCATGATAAGTTGATAAACCATTTAACTTTATGTAGTACACATATTAAACTAAATGTTACTGGTAACATAGAGACGTTACAAGATGGTATATATTGTTGTTTACTGGTTATTGCCGTTATAGGCGTAAAATAGATGTTATTGGCGTTATAGACGTTATTAGCGTTATATAAACGATATGGGCGTTATAGATGTTAACGGCAATATAGACGTTATGGACGTTATTGCCGTTATATATAGACTTTATGGACGTTATCGGCGTTGTAGACGTTATTGGCGATATAGACGTTATTGGCGTTATATAGACGTTATTGGTGTTATAGATATTATTCGCGTTATTGGCGTTATGGACACGTACGTTAACTGACTCGCGTTATAGTTAAACCAACTATTTATAGCACTATATAGAAGATATTTTTGCGAATTTTGATTAAACAGTATATGTTTTAATCGAGCTGCATGAACAATTATTTACAGTAATATATATGTGAAGTGTGTTTATCACAAACGACATGCAGCAAGGGTTAGGCACACCCATTACTTGACGAGAGGATGGAATTCGGATAGTTGCCGATATTGGTGTTGTTCCCAAGGCGCCTATGATGACTGTCAGAATAAATACCTTGGTCACTTCCCCTTTCCACACCTTTGTGAACTCATATTTAAGGTCTTTGAATTTTTCTATCCTTGTTCTTTCCCTCTCCTTAACTCTTGTGTCAAACGGGCAGCCTACGTCCGCTATATGGGTGGCTTCTCCTTCTTGTTCAATACGTATAGTCACTAGATCTGGTTTGTTGTACTCTAGTTTCTTTTCAGTCTGAATGGTGAAATCCCATATAGAATTTTCACTTCATTGTTTTCCAATACTCTGCTTTCCTTGTCAATGTGGTATGTGGTAGTTGTAGCTTTTTTCCGCATATTCGAATCCATACTTCTTACGAAGGTCTCTGTGTATGGCAGCAGCGATCTTATCATGCCTCACGTTCTTATAATCCCTTTGAGCAAGAGGAGTGCATTCCGAAACTATATGTGAGATGGTTTCACTGCAGTCCACAGATCCTCCACGTTGGTGAAATTTCGAACTCTTTATCAATATGGTGTCGCATCCATTTGGTTCTGAGGGCTTGGTTTTGAGCTGCTAGGATCATTCCTTCTGTTTCCTTTTTTAGCGTTTCCTCCTTAATCATTGCCATGTCGCTTCCTCATCTCTTACCTCCTTTGTTTCATGTCAAAATACAGGATGTGTCTTCTTTTCATGGAAACGTTCTTTGCTTCTGTTTATGATGGTTTTCTTTCTTTCTTTTGGCTTCTCTTTCCTTGAAGATGTTTTCTATCTTGACTTCTTTTAATAACTCTTCTTCTGTCTGTCGGTGATCGAGGTAGTGCCCTAGGCTGCATTTTTCAATTTTTACAACATCTTCCACACTCTGCAATCCTCTCCCTCCTTCAACCCTCTTCCAATACAGCCTGTCAACATCATCTCTTGGGTGGAAGCACTTATAAATAGTAAGTATCTTCCTTGTCTTTCTGTCCATTTCCTTTAGTTCTTCTTTTGTCCATTCAATTAACCCTGCTCCATACCTTATGATTGATACAGCCCGTGCGTTGATTGCCTTGATGATATTTCCTGCATTAAATTTGGACTTGAGGATCTTTTTCATTCTTCTGACGTACTCATTTCTGAGTATTTCTTTCATTTCACCACTTTTCAATTTATCACATTCCGAAATCCTAGGTATTTATATCCTTCATTTTCCTCCAATGCTTTGATGGTTTCTCTATTGGGAAGGTCAATACCCTTGTTCTCTACCATTCGTCCGTTGAAATAGAGCCGGATGTTTTCTGTGTAGGCTGACTAGTAACTGCAGAATACATTCAAATATAGGTATTTCTGTCGGATTCCAGAGTCTTTCTATATTTCTATCCATTTTCTCCATGATTATTTTCCTGCAGTCATTTTAGTCGAAAGGGAGTGCTTTATCCTCTCTCTTGAAGGGCCTGAAGTCAAGGCAAATGGACTTTGATAGATAACGTCGCGCTTTCTGAACGGGTTCTCGCATTGTTTACATATGCAAGCATCGTGGCAGGCATGCTGGTTATTGTAACAAGGACATCTGGATGCATAATTACCCTTTAAGGTTAAACAAGCTCCTTTTTTGTTGTCACACGTTTTTCATTTTTACCACACGAACATTTGTTGGCTGCACAAAAAGAATGTTCAGTTGGTGTTGATGCGGTGGCAGCTAGCTAGCGGACTGTTCGATCTCGCAAGATTCACTGCTATCCCAACATCATTCCAAACTACTGAATCGAAATGACCAGCGCCAAATTGGTTAAATGCTGTAAGTATAGTCTCGAAATGGCATCACGTATCACAGGACTTAATAGTAGTACCGGCATCGTTTCAAGAGACGTAAATATTAATACGGGAGAAGAAAGTGCATTAGCTAACGCAAGCAGCATCGTATTTCCAAGTTTTTCTATGAAATGCCCAGATTGTAAGAACAATTGTGCTTCATTTTCCAATGGTGTTGACAAAAATGGTTGATATCTATCTGGATTAGTCGTCCACTCCATCACTAACAATTCACGTAGCCTGTAAGCAACATCAGTGATTGACATACTGCTTGTTATTCCAGTACTTTCCAAAACACAGGAAAATGATAAATCTTTTTCTAGATTTTGCAATGCCAGTCGCGCTGTAAAAAACAATTGCCATCTCCTTCACTTCTCCGTAATTCAAATCCCAACCTTGTACCACTGCGAATAGCCTATTATCATGCTGTTCGTAGTTATTTCCGTGTTTAGGCTCAGTTTTCTTGTGATAAAACAAACAAGTTGCGGAGTTCAGAAATGCATGGTATATATTGTTCATTAAATAATATAACGTTCATCATCGCGGACATTGCTGTCACTCGAATTCTTTCCTCTCGGCAAGTAATGAGCTGTTCCGACCCTGACAACGATTTTTCAGTTTTTGAAAGTTAATAAAACAGCTAATGAAAGTAAATTTTAAAAGATATCAAAGTTATCGGTCAGCAAACGCAATGCCGACAAAAGAAAAGTCGCTTCGCGTTAATTTCGCCATATGAACTCAAATTTTCTGTTAACTCAGAAAGTTTCATTTAAGCTGAACAGTAAAGACTACCAATTGATTGGCTTATTCCAGGTACTGAAGTACAGGATCGAGACAGTTGATTATTCTCGGTTTAGTGCCATGCAAAAACTAAAGAGATTCGTTTGGCGTTTATCAGGAATCTGTATAAAATTTGGGCATGTGCTAAAACCCGGACCGAAACCACCGGAACAATCGAAACGAAACGAGCGACACGCAAAAGATCGCTCGAAAAATCAAAACAGAACCAGAAAATAACTTTCCCTCCATCTTCGTTTCGGCGATTCCGGTGGTTCCGCTCGTTTCATTTCGGTGGTTCCGGCGGTTCCGTTTCGTTTCAGGTTTTAGCACATGCCTAAAATTGTGAAAATTTGTCTTTACTTTAGTCTTGACTTTAAATTTAATACAAATCAAAATAGAAACAAATGTGAACCCTAATGTTTCAATTTCTTTTTCTTCTTTGAACTATAACTAGTTTCAACTGTCCAACCATATTTTCTTGAAGTGTCGTCTGTGTTTCGTTTTCTAGCACTTCGCTCTGCGCTTTCGTCTCTGCCAGAAGACTCATCAGATCTCAGTTTCTTATCTCGGCGATCATTCTTCAAACCACTGTCTGATCTAATCTTTCTTTTTCTGTCGCGACAGTTCAAATCATTGTCAATGTATTTACTTTGGGATTTTTCATTACCATCAAGGCGGTTGATTTTCGAATCCTTATTCAGTTCCACCTTTCTGTCCCTTTCCCGATTGCCGGTCTTGAAATCATTATCAAGTTCCTTCGTATTTGTTTCCCTGCGGCCACTTTCAACATCACTGAACGTAGAATCAGATCTAATCTTTCTTGATTCCTTTGATTGAAGACGTTTACTCTTTGCATCCTTACTTTGTTCCATCTTTCTATCCCTTTCCCGATTATTACGTATCTTCGTATCAATATTGAGGCCTTTAGTCTTGGAGTTCATGCTTGGTTTCCTGTGATTGCGGTCAGTTTTGACATCACTGTCAAAAGAATCAGATCTAACTCTTCTTGATTTCTTTATTTTTCCTTTCTCTTTCTTTTTGTGTTTCTCCCTACTAGAACTTTTACTCTTAATCTTGATTTTCTCCTTTGTTTCACTAAACGTAAACAGACAAAGAAAACAGTCAACAGAACAGTAGGGTAAAATACGAAAACACACAGTAAGGATACCCGTTACTTTTGCTAGTGTAGTTTCTTTAGATGGGGGGGGGGGGGGTTA